AAAAAAAAAATAAGTAAAAATCTTCCTTTTTTTTTTTTTTTTAAACATCTTAACAATCCAGTCAGGGGATTTCAGGGCGGCTCTCTCTAAACCTGTAGTCAAGGGTTTTACCACCATCTGTCTATATAAACATTCTAGCATCAAGTTCCCAGTTACTATTATTATTTTGAAGTTGTTGCTATAGGGTGTGTGCACGGATGAAGAGACAAAGGGAAAGTGAGAAATCACCTCCCCGGGGGGATGGCCACGCCACAATCCTTTCTCCTCGACTTGAGATTTGGGGCACGCATACACGCACGCGCACCCAGTGTGATTTTCAAGCCTCTGGATCCAGGACTCAAACTGTGGTTGGCTACATGGGAGTCTAATGCCTTAACCACTGTGCCACTTGCCGGTCCCCAAAAAAGGTTTTTTGTCTTATTGTGGTTGTTTTTTTAATCCAATAAGACGACTTGTGTGCTGTACACGAAGCCTGCGGCCTGGGCTAATTGCACTTACTGAGACAAGGAAGAACCTGCCCAGAGGGGACCTCGCCTTACACCCCAGAACACATTCCAGCCGACTCCACAGTTACACCGAAAGAGTCTCAATGCCAAGGGAGAAACGCAAACCATGTGTCATCTCTGCACGCGCCGAAGAAATTCAGTCATTTGGAAAACGCTGACCGTGGGGGGAACCGGGGCTCACCTGCACTTGGAGTGGAAGGGGTGGCCAGGAGGGAGAGTCGGCCACGAACCCAAACCACCCTGTGGTGGAGCAGCTCAGCCCAAGGACAGGAAGGGGGAGGGACGGCTTGGCCTAGGCATTCAGTGAGCCTGGGGACCCCAGGCCTGGTCCCGGTCAGACTTCGCTCCTTACCCCGGGGACAAGAAGAGCTGGGGGCCGATCCGTGGCCGCAGCTTCGCCAGCTCCTCCATGGAGTCTATCGACCTGGGCAGGGTGGCCGACCGGCCCGAGATGAGGGACAGCTCCGACTCGGCCATGGACTCAGTCACCCCAGACTCTACGGACCCTTCGGCCTCTTCGTCTTCGGCGACTGCTTCATAAAACTCCTCGCCTAGTATTTCCGTGCTGGGAGAGGGCTTGACGATCTGCCCGGGGAGACAAACACGTCCGAGGTGGCGTCTCCAGACCGTTCTCGCCCCCCCTGTGAACAGCCACTGCGTGGACGTCGTGAATGGGTGCATTTAAGGTGTGCACGAACACTCACACTTAGGGGCAGGAAGCTTTAGAAAACAGCCATTTCTAAGCCGAGTTGGTACGGCGGCGGGCTGCTGGGACACTGGGCTCCACAGGACAGGATCCAGGGGGGCCTGCGGCTGAGCCCTGGTCCAAGCTCACGGCCAGGCACGGTGCCACGCCCCGTAATCCCAGAGCCTCTGGAAGCCCAGGCAGGAGGATCGTGGGCAACAAAATGAGACCCCCTTTGAAAAAGAGCTGGGGACGGTGGTGTAACCACGGGCCGGCTGCAAGGCCACCTCTGTGTGACCGTGAGGCAGGACAATGCCACTGCTCTCCTATGGCTGCTGTCTGGGCAGAGATGGGAGGGAGGTGGGAGGAGTCGCAGAAGCAATGGGCGGCCTGGCATTCTGGGCTGTCCCCTTGGGAGGCTTGGATTTATTTATTGCCTCTCTCCCTCCCTTCCTGGCCTGAGGGCATGGGCGCTCACCAGAGAGACAGAGAGGAGTGAGGGGGAAGCACAGGTCACGTGGCAATCCCTTCTCCATCTCTCCTCCTTTCAGGGTGCTGGGCAGCCCAGCACACCTGTCAAGCTGCAGGGCTGGGACTTGAACTGCGCAGCCAGCCATGTGGGATCCCCTCTGGGCTCGGATTTCAGGGGAGTGTGTGAGGTCAGGAATCGCTCTAGCTTCACCTAAGGGGCTGAGCAGGACCCTGCTCAGAGCAGGGCTGTGGATCGGAGCGTCCATGTTAAGGACTTCTCTGCACCCCGCGAAGTGCCCGGCCCCGCCGCTCACCTGGGCCAACACGCCGGCGTACTCCTTCCCCTCGCCCTCTTCGTCCTCCACGAAGTCGTAGGTCACGTAATAGCTGTACGTGACGAAAGGGCCTTCGGGCCCGGGCTCCGGGTCCAGCACAGAGGAGTCCAAGACCCCTTTGATGTTGCCGATAGTCACCACGAGCTGCGCCTCGCGGGCCAGGAGGTCTGCATGGAGGAGCGGGCAGGCTGAGGGGCCGAGGGACCAAGGGGGTGGGGGGTGGACATGGGCGTCACAGAGGGCAGGAAGGCACAGGGCCCAGAGTCCCTCCTCCATGCAGGGGTGAACCTCTGACTTTGGGGAGCTTGGGTTCAAGTTCCAGCTCTGCCAAGTTCAATGAGGGTCATCGGGGAACAGCGTCCCCTTCCGCCTTGCTTTCCTGTCTGTGGATGGGACCGAGGGTGGCTGCTTTGCAGAGACGCTACAGGGCGGGTCAGAGGTCAGGTCAGGGGTACCCTGGAGCTGCATCCCTCCCTCATCTCTCTGACCTTGAGGTACAGGTGCACCTTGTGGCACGGCCACAAGGGGGTGGTCTCAAGCCACCATGGAGGTGATGAACTGCCTTGGCCTCCCTACCGCTCCTGTCCCCAACCCCAACCATGGGAATCAAAATCTGGGAGAAAATTGACCCGAAGCTCTGCTCCACCTGACCAGGGCCTGAGTCAGGCAGAGGCTGTGGGGCCTGTGCCCAGTTGGGGGCCGGGGGGCAGGGGGCAGAGGCTCAGGGCATCCGGTGACAGTGACTTCCTCACCACCGCTGAGGCTGAGGCCCCGGAACTGGTGCTTCTCGCTGGGAGACACGGTGAGGTCGTCCAGCACGCAGAGCCGGGCCAGGCTGTCGATGGTGAAGCCGCGGTAGTAGGGCACGAGGGCCAGCGGGTTGCCCTAGCCGCAGGCGCTGCAGCGTGCACAGGCTGGCCACCATGCCCTGCAGGTCTGTCAGGTCGTTGAAGCCCAGGTCCAGAGAGACCAGGTTGGGCCTAGAATGGGGGCGAGACCGTCCAGGGTAAGAACCCAGGTGCAGGGGCCAGCAGGGCGGGTAGCAGTTACGTCGCAGGGCTCCCACACGGCTGACAGACCCGGTGGCTAGAAACTCACACCAGGAGCATGTGTTTGCCCAGATTCCCGAGAGGAGAATGGAGGATCGTGGCATGGCCATCCCCCCGGGGTCTCTCACTTTCCTGTCACCGTCACTGTCTGTCTCTCCAGAGAATGCATATACCCTCAGGAAAACACCTCTTTTTTAAAATAAATAAATAAATAAAAAGAACCCAGGTACGGGGCCAGCAGGTGGCATGGTGGCTGAGGTGCTGGACTCCCAACCCCAGACCAAGTTCTAGACCTGGTGGCCCAAAACTCACAATTAATAAATAGATAAATAAATAAATAACTGTTTTTTGTTTTCTAAGGAAGAAAGAAGTCAGGTACATGCAGAGCCCCGCAACCCTGTGTCCCGGAAAATGGCTGGCGGCCGAGGGCAGGCAAGGGCCCTGGACCACACCCCCTGTGCTGCCCTGGGCCCAAGGGAGCCCCGTGTTGGCACAGCCTCCCCACTCTACTCCGCTCTCCACGACACTGCCACCCTCGTGTCCGCGGCTTGGGTTG